AATTTTATGAGTTATATGTTCGATTTTATCAAAAATATTAGTAATAGCTACCATGTATCAGTGTGGTTGTTTCAAAGTTCCGAATACAATATTATGATCAATTTGTAAGATCTAATGGAGATATTTATCGTGCAGAATCTCTTCATGACGAAATGAAAAATCTTGCGTAGAAATATATTGATGATGTTGAACGATTAATCGGTAATTGTTTCACTATTCCGTTATTTGCTTCTCACTTTACTCGGGAAAAAAACTCATGTAAACTGACAAGATGGGAATTTTTTCAAAAAATACAACGCAGTTGTGACAAATAAGGACACGCCAGATTGTGGAATAATAAACAAGATTATAAGAATGCAATCTCAGTTGTTATGGTTGCGTGTTATCCTGGAAGTTTTCTTGGAATGGGAGAGTGTTCTGAGCATTTCAAAAGATTTGGATATCCAACACACGCGATGACAAAAGTTGCGATAAATGGACCCTTGCCGGATTTTGACTTAACTGGATTTGTATATATTGAGTCATTAGAGCTTGCGTTAGAAAATCTTTATCCGGTTATCCTTGTTTAGTTTGGTCGTCATTTTGATAGACCTGGTTGGACTCCAATACTTTTATTAATATATATGCTTGATGCAAAACTATTAATATTGGTAACCATGAGTAAAACAAATACGTCGTATTGTCCACAGAAACAAGTCTGACTACCTATCTTTGAGATATCTATTCTCGACGAGATCTTTGGACGCAATCCCGATGATGCAGAATACGAAACTAGACTCGCAAAAGATCTTGGCAGAAACATAATTGGTAAATTTACACAAATTTACACAAAAAAGTTCATGTGATCAAAAGCGACATAACACAAGATTAATCCTCGAAGATACTGAGCTCGATTTCATAATTGCAGATACAACAGAGAAAGGCACATTTATAAGTCGGAATAATGCTTACTTAACAGACGGAGAGAAACTAGGCACAATTATGAGCTAAACTGATGGTGACTCACCACATTTTACTCATTTAAGATCTTCGATTCTCGCGTACGTTTCGATAAACTTTTTATCGATGATAAACATATTTCCTGATATCGCGGTTAGAGACGCCAAAGATTTATTTTATGTCAGTAAAAAAAGGCAGGTTTCCTAAATTAATTGCATATCAGCCTTGATGGATCATGGATAAAGCGAGAAAAAAATATTCTGAAGCTGATGATTATATTCCCGAGAATGTTTATTATAAAAATGGTCTATGTCAGCGTTGCCATCTTCAACGACGGTGTATGATCACCTTGGCTGGACATAGAACTGTTTACCTTAACGGTGCGGTGGTTCTGGTAAAATATCGCGTGTGTTTGAATTATCTCGGAATTTGATATGGTTGTTTTGATGCCAACACATAGACTCGCCAGAGAAATGAAAGAGCGAGGAGTTTAATTTCATTCTTATCATAGCTTCTTTAGATGGAAAGGAGATGTCTTAATTCCTGCGCTAATCGGTGAGAAATATATCCCCAAAATCATTATTTGGAATGAAATATGCACAGTATCCTTGGAGGAATTAAAAATGGTTATTGATTGGTTATTGACTCGAAATACTGATGTTTTCATGTGTGGTGATCATGGTCAACCACCTCCTTTTGTTAGAACATATCCGCACGAATGCTTGAAAAAGTTCATAGATTATTATGATGAGATAATTGATGATCATAGAGCTATTGATAAACTGCTGAAGGAGTTTAAAAAGTTAATCATACAGCAGCCATATAAGATTTAATGTGAGATAATGATAAGTAATTCCAGAAACTTCTATGAATGATTTTTGGAATTTGTGGTGGTCTGCTGATTTGATAGTTGCAAGTTGAAAGATAGTTCGTGATTCATTTCATCAGTAGTTATTTCTGCCACATAACGCAACGTTTTTAGGTTTACCTGTGCCATTGTGTTATCGAGCAGTGGATACAGGCAAACGAAACACTGAAGTTGAGATTCCTGGAATTAATGATAAAAAACTTGTATTAAATGATATTGTTGTTGTTCTTGTGAGTGCTGTGAAAGCGCGTTAACGATGAATAAATCTCCATGGAATCTAGGATATGCTATAATGATTCATTCATCACAACGATTTAGCTATATCTAGATTGCTGATGATCGTATTGAACGGTCAAAATTAGCGGCGTCGAGAGTTAGTAGAATGTTTCTGTTACGGAGAGTTTTCATAGACTGCGCAATGACTCAGGAAACCACTGCTAGTAATGGCGATGATATGGTGAGAAACAAATTAGCTGATTATCAGCGATCTGACAAAAAAGTTAACCTGATCTTGACGTTTATCATAACGCTGAAACAACAACAAAACAAAATAATCACTCTGCTTGCTGAAACATAGTAATGTTGTCACATGATTCTTCTAATGAATTTCGATAGTTTGCCGTGAATAGAATCAATAGTAGACTCAACCACATAAGCAAACAACGCGATGCTGACCTGTCTTGAGAGTAATCGACGTAGGGGCGCTAGTGTCCTGCTTTCACAGAAGTGAACCTTACAAAAGCGAAGACAGTGGTACTTGTGTATCTTCAAGAATTACTTGTAATTATTCACATACAAATCGACGATGAGGAGCAGTTGGATCTAGTCTGTAGATTGCAGGTTTACCCGTGGAGCTTACCACGCTTGAAAATTTATGTGTAGTCACATGCCAAAGAGGGCCAGTTGCTCTTTCTTTTATCAACAGGATCATATAAATATCAGACAGTAACATTACCTAGTACTGGCTGTTTTGAGAAAGAGTCACATCTTTGTACTGGTATATGTTTTTAGTGATCGCAATGATGGATTTTATAGAAATTCCATGAATAATTTCATTATTTTACGCAGCTATCACAGTAGTCATGAAACCCAATCACAAGCGCTTATGTATTTCGGAACTTTGTTCAAGGATATTTCCTGCGCATACTGATATCCAAACAATCGTTCAGCAAGTCTTTGATTAAATTACGAATGCCTGATCGCGATGAAATGTGTGCCCATGTCTTTTTTTGACATTATGTTGTTTCATCAAGATGTTACTGCACCGAGAAATTATTTGCCAGGATTAACATGCAGCAACTATGACCATCGCAGGCCACCAAGTTGATAAATTCATTCAAACACAGCTGCACCGTAGTTGCTGTCTTTATGATAGTGGTACTGCTTTTCTTCATATCTACTTGCAACGTCAACGACAGTCAACGCGTATTTGTACGTGCACGATTGACGTTTACCAATTTTAATAGTATCATGTGGAAAAAACAAAATATCTGCATGATGAATTTCATTGGGAGTGCTGACATGAAAATGACATACTGAAGTTTTTAAGGTGGTAGATATAAATAACCAATTTTCAGCAAACGATTAGCTATATTTAGATTGCTGATATACAACACCCGCTGAATCAGCAAGTTTACTAATCGCTGCTCTACCCCTCTCTTGGTTAGCTTTCTTAAGTTGCAACTCCATTTCGTCTTCTTTTTTTTTTTTTTTTTCCTTTCTTGTTTTTACTTGTTCAATATGCTCATTTACTGTCTGGCTAAACATGTTTAACTGATTTACATCAGTAACTACGCGACAAACGTCCATAACCCAATCGGCAGATTTCAGAGTTTAATATATTCTGGTTTCATATACCTATCTCTATCACTATATCCAAATGCGGCTGAAATAATTATTTGGCATGGGGTCTTGATAGCGGTAATACCTTTCAGCGTAAATTTATCTAAAATGTTAGTTCGAACTATTGGCAGAGGTGTTTGTTCATCTCAAGGTTGTAGTTGTGGAAGTTGCTGGGGTGGTGGTGGTCTAGCTGTTCGAAGACGGCCAACGATATCAACAGGTAATGTCTCAATAGCTTTTCTGTTGCCTCAGTTGCCGTAACAAATTTCTTCGTTGGTTGGACAATTGGTTTAAATAACTATTCTGTACCTTCTGTAAATTCCACCTGGGACTCCTGACGTGCTGGAAATTGTTGCTTGACAGAATCACGGACTGGGAGATATTTCTTAATTGCCTCTAGTCACTGTCGAGTTCGTTTAACTGTGCGAGATTCCATGGTTAGCGTAGAATCGTTCATTATTATTAATATATCAATGATTTAATTACGGCACCTCATCTCGTCGCTACATCAGCAGAGAAGATGAATATCTCGGGTCTGTAAATAAATTTGATACACAAGAAAATAATTCTGTAGAGGCCTCGGTTTCGTGAAACGCGGTTATATGTCTCGGTTTAGCGTTATCGACGCTTGTCTGTTTATTTTTGTAGAAGTTTAACTTTCAAAACCGGACAGCTCTAATACTACTACTACTACTACTACTACTACTACTACTACTACTACTACTACTACTACTACTACTAATAATAATAATAATAATAATAATAATAATAATAATAATAATAATAATAATAATAATAATGTGGTTTGTTCACCCTCTCTGCTGCTTACTGGCTTATGAGTATCGAGATCTATACAATTCAAATGGCATTAGACCTCCATATTTGAAAACGAGTATTGAGACACACAATTTAAAAAACATTTTCCCTCCCTTCTGTGTAATTTCAAAATATAAGCCTCAAAATACTCATTCACGTATCAATACGATAGAAATAGCAAGATCCAAAACAGACATGGCATAAAGTTTTGTGTTAGACATAACACTTTTATGGAACTTGCTTCCCATATAATGCAAAAACAGCTACTTTCTATCATTGATTTTAAGATATGATTCATGTGATGTGATTATGATTTTTAACGTAGCTTTAACAATTTTTCAGTCACACTACGATGTCTGCAGTGTGGCAGTTTATAGTGATGTTTAGCACTGGGGAATCATGCCGCAGACATGTAGCATGATGTCCCACACAATCACATTATCCTAATACCAGGCCGACCAGTCCTGACATTTACCTCTTCATGCAGAGCGTCAAGCGAGGCGACGGTTAGTGCCATTTTTGTAAGTCTTTGGTATGATTCAACCGGGAATCGAACCCACGACCTTCCTGATCCGAGGCGGACGCTCTAACCACTAGGCTATTGCAGCGATTATACTGATTTTAAGAAATTTAGAAAAGATTGAAATGGAAATAAATACAAATGTGTAATATGAATTAAAGAAAACTTTTTGTGAGGTTTAAATTTATGTTTGGTCGTTTTGTGATGGCTTTTTACGATTGTCTGAAAATGTGTAGCTCGTTAACTGCGTATGTTGCTTATTTTGTGCTTTAGGATCTGTGTATTTACATGTTTTATGTTGTATGAATATTTGTACTTGTGGGTACCACATAAACCGGTCTCAATTTATGTAAAACTGTATATGATGACGGTATAATTTTTTTTTCCCTCATGTATATACTCTTTTAAGTCATTTTTAATCTATACTAATTGCAATGTATGTTTGTCATATGCTGTGTTGTTTGAATAATCATAAATTCTATTTAAACTTTTGCTTAAATAGTTGGTAGTACAGTCTCAATAGAGATTGTGTATTTATATGTACATACACCGACTTTAAATAAAGACTACTTGGGCCTGGCCAGTCATGTGTTTGCATCTGATTGTCGCTATAGGAACTGTGGCATCAAGCGCTGCAGTAGGCTAGAGGGCAGCAACGCAGATTGTTTAAACATGGCTGCGGATGTTGGTTTTAACTCTGGGTTGAGGCAGCGCTGGATCCCTGACAATGATCCAACATGGAATCCAGATTTGCCATATGGAGGAAAAGTGTACCTCGCCAGACGGAAAAAGCCGGATGGGTGGTTTGTCACAACAATTGAGGTATAATTCACATGAAACATCGTGTCAGGATCGCCGTTCATGAAACCACAGGAGTCTGCAGTTTTATCAATAAATCACAACGAAATTTCTAACAACATGAAATAACCTTAACGGTATTATAAAATAAGACTTATTTTATAATACCGTTAAGGTGATTTCATGTTGTCAGAAATTTCGTCGTTCTTTATTGATAAAACTGCACTCCTGTGATGGAACTTATACCGGGTTCTAGTTCCATGAAGGCAGATTCATAAATCGATTGCCGTCTTTAGCAAGCCACGTACAGGTTAGTGAATATACCTGTAACAGACAAGCAGAAGCGTAAATTATTCATTAGTCTAACATTCGATCCAAGACGCAAAGAGAAATATACATTACCCCATTCCACTAACTCGCTCATGTATATTTTTCTGTATATGGTAATTGAAAACCATAAAAATAATGAATATGAAGTTCTTTGAATTTTGAAAATAAATGTTTTGTCATTTAAAATTCCTTGATGTTTTTTCCAACAAGTCAATGAAATTTTCCCCAAAACTCTTTGAATTTATCTTTGGGAATACTACATTAAAATTAAATAGAATATATCACTTTTTAAAAACTGTTTTGTTATGGATTAGATTTTTAAAACAGTGAATAGATGTCTACATAAAACTGAATAAAGTTATGTGAATCAAATGGCATGTGACAATATAACGTTTTTTTTTTTTGGTGCACTAATTAGTTACTTAGTTTACCCCTACTTTACTACCCATTTGTGTCATTATTAAAGTAAGATGGATAAAGTACATTTTCCATTAGAAAAACATACTTTTTTATTATTTTTGAAAGTTCATGAAAGTGGTAACAGGCTGATTCATACCAGACATTCAGCCCAAATTACAGGCTGATTTGGCCCAGATTATGGAGTGATTTTGCCCAAATGCCCAGTTGATTCATACCATATAAAAAGTTATTAAATTTCATCTTGAATTTAAATATGACATTTATGTTTGCTTAAAATATGATATTTTTCATTATTTCTTAGCACTTCAGATCTGCATTTGAGGGGGAAAAAACCCTGATTTTACATAAGATAAAAACTGGTTAATACTTTAAATAAATCAGGCCAGATTGGACAGTCTTTTACTCTGTCAAATAGTAATGCATAAAATATAATGCTTTTATTGATTTCTCATGCAAATCATGCTTTTTTTATGTATTTATTCCCTAACATTTCTGTAGTGTTACTGATGAATAGATAACATAAACAGTATCAAACATGTTATTATTGAATTTGTATTATTTTGAGTGAAATCACTTTATTTGTGGACACCCTGCAGTTCTGTTCCAACACTCAGAACCAATTATGATACATCACTCTGTATTTGTATCATTTCAGGTTTGTGTTTTACCACTCATTCTGTATCATCATGTATATCAAATTTGTCTTTATTTAATACATCTGACAATTTAGGTAGAACATCCTTTGATTAGTCAATGTCATGTATAATTAATTTGTATTGAGATTGACCCTTACCTGTAATTGAGGTGTTATGTAATGTTGTTGTTGTTGTTTAACCCCATTTTTCAGCAAAATATAGGCTAAACATGTCGGTATTAATGGTGGAGGAAGAACCCTGGAAAACCCCCAGGAAGAACCACTGACCCACAAGAAGTTACTGGCAGGCTTTCTCAATTACCCACATTAGCATAGTCTGGACTCAACTCACACAGAGGTGAGATGGCAGTGATCAGTAACGGTCAGTGCACTAGGCCACTGGGGGCCCTTATGTTATGTAATGTAATTTAATCACTTGTGTGTTTTAAATTTTTTATTTTATTTTTATTTTTGTTTCATTACATATTTATTGTAATGATAACTTTATTCACTGATTTAACATTTTATTTGAAAAGTTCAGTTCAGTTCTGTTTTGGTGCATTGTATTATTAGCTGACCTACTTCCTGACCTTGATTCAGAATTGGTAAACAACTTTTTAAAATTTTTGTCCTAGAGTAAAAATCATTGGTCGTAATTAAGGTCATATTTGGCTTGCATGTCAGCTCTGGTGTAAACAACTTTTTTTATTATTAAATCCTATTTTAGATTTGTTCAAATTCATCCAAGGTCTACATGTCAGTCATTCTATTGTCTTACTACACCATTCCAATTAACTGACCATCTGACCCCATCATGTGGTCTAAAATTGCATTTAAAGCTAATGCTTTATAATGATTTAATTCAGTCATAAATTGATACCTTTGGAGCTCAAAGGTATTTTGTGTTGTGACCAGTGTAAGTTAAGTTTTTCTATTTTTTGGAATTATTAATTTATTCACCCTGGAAAATACTTCATCAATATTCTTGGACAAAGACATTTATTGGAAATTATTTGAAATTTTAAAGTTGGAATATTATTCTTGATTCATAAAATTCAACATGGAAATCTTGACACAACAGCACAAAACAGGATCTAGAACAGATCATCGCCTTCCATCTTGGAACTTCATCTGGATTCAAACTTTGATTCATTAAGAACTTGTTAGTGATTGGACTTGTATTTTTAGATGCTAGGATTAATTTTTGATTAGATTCACAAACTGTGCATTCTTTTTCATATTTGTACCTTATTTTCAAAGGAAATAAATTATTTTGTTAAATTTTACACAGCTTATAGGCTTCACTTTTTTTTGTTACTTTGTACAAGCCTCAACACATAACAAAGGGTAGGAGTTTGAGCCTACCTAATGTTTCTTTTTTTATAATTAACATAGTACATTGCTAATTTTTGTATGATTGTAGATTACACATTAGGATTATTATTATTTGCAGATAAACATATTTAGTTGGATTTGAATTCAGAACATTGGTTTTAAACTTGGGAGTTCTCGGTGTACCTGCTGTTTGCCATGTTCATTTCTAAAGTTTTAATAATGGATATATCTTTTTGACAACTTTTGATCTTCATCCAGGTCCTCATATTGTGTCTTAGGTTTTTATATGAAGGGAGAAGTAAACAGAACTACTTTATTCTTATTTTAACATCTGACTTGTGGATTCAATTTTTTGTGTTCAGTTTTAATTTGAGAATATTTATTTAAATTATTCACTTGTTATAAATGCTCAATAATATTTCTGGACTAAATCACTACTTTGGGATTATTATGAATTTATTTAGAGATATTTTTGGTTATGTCATTGTGATACAACAGAACATCAACATTATTCCAGGCTATTGGTAGATTACCACTTTCAGAATTGGAATTCATTTGGAACACCACTGACATTCATTTTAAATACTCTATACTTTTTGGCTTCCTAATATATATCATCACCTTGGAATAGTTTTAAAAATGAGTGAGATCCAGACATACATTTATTAATGAGATAATCTTGCATTTGATTGGTTGACTGTTACCTCTCTGGAGGCAAGAATTCTGATCAGATTTGGAATATATGCTTCTATCATCAATATCTCAGACAAGTTCAGTAATAAGTGATCTACTTGCTTGGTACCTGGCCCCTCATGATGCTCCACAAATGAGGCTACGCATGCACCCTTGAATGGCCAATACCAGTGAAGAAATTCAAGATGGCGGATGAAATACAAAATATGCATTGGCAATAAAGAAATTGCATTGAATTAGTTATTACTAGCTGTGTCACCACAGGTTTGTTGTATTTGTTGCTATTACAAGGTTTATTTCCATTAAAATCTTGGATGACTTGAGTATGAGCAAGAGACTGAACATTTCTTCCTTCATTTTTAGAAAGATTTTTTTTCAGGATATAGTTTAGTACATAGCACAAGATGAAGTTTGATAAATAGTTTATACATAGGATATGTTCTTATACTACTGTATATTGTTAAGTTATGTAAGCCACATTAGCGATACCAGGTCCGCTTGGTTCTCTTGTTTTATTCACTTGCCCTGCTTGGGTGCAGAATGTCTGAAATCAATATCCACAACTTCACAATTTAAAAATTAATAAACACAATAGATGGCAACAATTTATTGCCGACAGTAGTATGATATAAAAGTGACACTATTTTAATAGTAAAATTATCTGTCAGGCAAAGTAATATTTTTGTGCAGTTAATACAGAAGCTAAAAATACTTTATTGTATATTGTTTTAAAGGTGAGAAAATTTTAATTAAATGCAATTTGCTTTTTGTTTCAGGGCCTTGTATTATGTCTGACCATTACCTTCGCATTCTATGCCTACTTTTATTTTGACAGTCTTCACTTCCATATCACCCATGCATATGCACATCTTGGC